GTTGATACAATTTGCAGTTTCTTAAATAATTGATTTATGGCAAAGTCTGCTGATTTGGTGGTTGGTATTGTCTGTTTGTTTTGCTGGCCATGAATTACTCATTTTCTTCTGAAATGCCTAATTAGAAGTTTAAGGAGAAAAATCATTCTTTCTAGTAATCCACTGAAGCTGGCTAATTGGAAAAGGATGGGCAATATAAAATTGGATTATATGGATTTAAGAGTCAACAGCATATTTTCACTCTAAAAACAATACATAAATTCTTTTATTTGCTTATTCTTTATTTTACCCAGTGATTATTGTCTCAGTAATTGTTATTAATTGGATCATAGTTTAAATTTTAATTCCCTGTTGAAATCTTACCACTGAAAGCCTATTACAAGTACTTTTGTAAATGTAAGACTTTTTGGTATGAAAATAATCACTAATAAATTAATCATTGGGGATTTTCAAAATAATTGGGTATATTGCATCCTGAGTTTAGCTTATATTTAAGCCATTTGTTTTCTTTTTGCCATTTCTGATTGTACCATAGGGCTCGATATCATTTATGCTTCATTATTTTCTAACAAGGTGATATTTGGAAACATGCAATCTTTTGGGAAAAAAAGTTATTATTTTTTTTTAATCAGAAAAGTGGTTGCTGGTTTTCCCCTTAGGTGGTAATCACTTTTTAAGAGTCACTCTGAGCAGCCTTTTCACTCCCACCTGCTTAGATACGGCTTCAGAAGTGCCCTCCAATGAGACTGCGTTAAGAACTGGCCTATTTGAATGAACTGTTGTAATGGGTGCCTTGTAAATGCTTGATTTGGACAGGTGACAGCCCCAAATCATAACCTATCCTTATTAAACCATATGGAGAAGATAGAAGCACTTACTCTGATGCCTCGGGCTACATATTAAGATGGGCTTTTGACAGTGTCTGATAGGAGTGGAATGTAAGCTGCCATATGGGCAACTAAGGAAGGAGCATACATTTACATAGACAAGTGTAGTGTAGTGTGTATTTCTGTAGCTTGTCTTTTGAAAACAAATATTCTCTTTCCTTTCTTTCCCTCTTTGTGTATTTCCCTTTATTTCTCCTCTCTTTTCTCCCCCACTCCCTCTCTCCTCCATCATTTTCTCTTTGTCTGTCACCCCCATATCTCCCCCACTCCCTCCTTCCCATTTCTCTCTAGTTACCAAAGAAATAATACTGCCAATTTTCTAAAACTTTCAAATGTGGATTTATAGTTTGACTTTTTTTTTCAAATAAAAAAGAACTCTTTGCTGAATTCTAAGCAAACTTTTGGCTAGAATTTAAGATACTCTGTAGTTCATAGGAAATATAGGTAATTTTCATTTTCTTTAAATTCTGCAAGATACAATCATTTGCTATCAAGAGTCATAACTGACCAGAGAAAATTCCTTTTTTTGCCACATTCATTAAAATAAGAAACATAACCAACTTTTATATTCATTAGAATTTTTTGCAGTCTGATTGTGTACATATGGGTTAAAAATAGAACTTGTCATAGCAGTATTATTTAATGCCATATTTCATACAAAGTATGAGGGGTATACATAGGCCTCAATAGGTTTTATAGGTGTCATTTAATACAAGCTCCTGAATAATAATGTAGTAATCTTAGTATTCAGGTATTCATTTATCCAACAAACACTTGATTACTTGCTCTGAGCCAGGGACTTTTCTGGAACTAAGAATACAGACATAGTTTCTGTCTTGGGAACCTTATATACCTGTGAGCAGTGAGAAATATGTCAGCAAGTATGAAGACCACTTTTGAAATAGGAACCACAGTGGAAACCTGCCCAGGGTATAGAGTAAACAACAGAAGCCAGTAATTGGGCAAGAGGACAGCAGAATGAAGCATTTCTAGAAAGGATTTGAGGAGCAAGTATGTATTGAATCATGACCATACCGCAGGAAAGGAAAGGTGAAGGAGCAGAAATGAGCACGAAAAGTAACTTGAAGACAGATTTTGGAAAGCTTTCATACCATGCTCCTGCTTTTGAAGCTTGTCATAATGAGCCACTAAAGAAGTATAATCTTAAGAGTGACATTGTTAGTTTTATGTTTCAGCAAGCCCCTCTGCTGACAATTTTGAGAAGATGGATTGGCAAAGGAAAACTTAGGATCCTAAAATTAGGTGATTATTGCATTAATCAAGACAGGAGATGAGAAGGCCGGATTGGTGCAACTGCAGTGGTGATGAAGATAGCACAATAAGATATTAAGGGTATAAGATACACAGGTCTTGATGACTAATTGGATGTCAGAGTGAGGAATGGTAGTTTTATATGCCACAGAGGTTAAATGGGGTTTTTATATCAAATTCTGTTTCCACTAATGACTAAATCACCTTAAACAAGTATCCTAAACTCTCTATGCCTCAGTCACCTTATTGATAAGTTTTTTTTTTTTTTTTTTTTTTTTTTTTTGAGGCGGAGTTTCGCTCTTGTTACCCAGGCTGGAGTGCAATGGCGCGATCTCGGCTCACCGCAACCTCCGCCTCCTGGGTTCAGGCAATTCTCCTGCCTCAGCCTCCAGAGTAGCTGGGATTACAGGCACACGCCACCATGCCCAGCTAATTTTTTGTATTTTTAGTAGAGACGGGGTTTCACCATGTTGACCAGGATGGTCTCGATCTCTTGACCTCGTGATCCACCCGCCTCGGCCTCCCAAAGTGCTGGGATTACAGGCTTGAGCCACCGCGCCCGGCCCGATAAGTTTAAAAAAACAAAACAAAACAAAACAAAACAAAAAACTATTTCCTCCTTCACAGAGTTTTTGTGATGATTAAATGAGATAAAGCCCATATAGGACTTCACATAGTGCTTGGTACTGAAAAAATACTGGGGGTGAGGAGGAGGAAGACGAGAATGAGAGTTCCCAAGTAGAGACCCAATACATTCAAATATCAGTATATTTTTTAACTTGCCTAATACAGTGAATTAGATGGTGTGAATAAGAATATTTTATCCTTAAAGTTTAGCATGCTTATTTAGATGGCATTTGGTAAAAGTAACTGAATTATTTAAGCTATAATACCTTCTAGCTTGATGATTAAATATCTAGGAATAAATAAAGCTTCTTTCAGTGTGCTAATGAAAACATCATTAAGATAATATTAGTCTCCTAAATAAGATACCAATCATTAAATATGATTATCATTTGCAATTTAATGGGAAATCTTTCAGCATATACCTGAGCTGGGAAAAGATTATTTAACCACAAAAAAAATACTAACCCATATCAATTAGAGGTAGAAAAAAATCTGTTGTATTTTCTTCTGTGTTTAGAATTACTTCCCACACCAATTTATGTGTCTGTAGTTGTCCAGCCTCTGACAAATTTCAGAAACACATAAAATAATGTATACAGGGAGTCTTCATATACATGCCACAGTGATAAATATCATATACTTTGCCCAAGATCTAAAACACTATTAGGCTTTTGGGAAGAAGATAATGTGGGAAGTTGTCATAGTAAGTATTTTATAAGACACTGCTATTGGAGTTGCTAGTAATTAGATTTAGTAACTGTAAGCAAATATAGCTATTACTGACTTTTCCCCAACTTCTTCCTTTTCACCCTAGTCAAAGTCACTATCGCCCTTTACCTAGTCCACTGCAGTAAAGAACTGAGTACTAACCTTTTTCTCTGTTTTTAGCCCTGGCTACCTACTCCATTTTCCACACAGCAGCCAGAGTGATCATATCATGTCACTCCTCTGCATAATGATAAGCATCATAAAGCTTCCCATCACACCCACTAAGCATCACTCTTTACTCACTCCCAGGATCTAGACACCACCCGCCCCCCCGCCACCCCACTCTGCCACCATGGGCTACCCATCCCTCAGCCTGTGGCAGTTACTCTGACCTTTCAACTTTCTGCAAAGACACAAGCTTATTCCTACCCAAAACTTGTTTTCTAGCTGTTCCCTCTACATGAAAATCTCCCCTTTAAGTCTTCCATGGAAGGTTCTTCTGTCACTTAGATTCAACTAAAATATCATCTCTTGGAAATACCTTTCCTTACAACAGAGTGTATTTTTAAGTTAGCACATTTTCACTTTGAGAGCCACAGTGGGACTTAGGACATGTTCTTTGAGAAATATTTATAATCTATAGTACTGGCATCTAAAATAAATTATTTGTTAAATATTACCCTTTTTCCTATACATTCTCTTTTTTTTTTCATGGTGCAACTTAGGCACATACTCACTTATATTTTTAATAAAATTGCATCATCTTCATAGAAAACATTCATTTCCTGAAAAAGGTGAGTGTACCTTGCCCAGCAGTCTTGTAGCACAGATTCTAAGACTTCTGTGACGACTTTAGGTAGAATGTTCCATAGTACCATTTATTAAAGACAAATGGAAAACTGAAAAATCCATGTGATTTGCCAAATGTTTTTATATACAGATATGAAAAATTGAATGACTAAAAAGAAAATCCACAAATAACTATAATGTTCATGAATTGAAATAGATATTCCCAAATACCCAGACACCCTCCTAGTGAATTAAACAAGAATAGCTCTTACAAGTAAACAAGCTTACCTCTTAGAATTGAGTAGGGTTAGCTCCTCTGTGATACATAGCATAGCACAGAGATTGTAACTCTGCTTAATTGCTGCATTTACATGTGTCAGGACCTTCAGGAGTGCTGGCAGCTCCCTTGAATTTCCAGCGAGTGGTCATGTGCCTATGTGTTAAACCTCTTAGAAAATAAAAACATACCACCTGCCAGGAGAATTGTAGAGAGATATAATCTACTTGTGTTTTGACAGCCATATATAGAAGGCTAATTATACTTTTTGATCAATTTCCATGATATGATACTCAGTATGGGGTATAGGATCTACTCTCATCTGCATTTTATCAGTTCTTCTGTGTCAGACTCTCTCAGGAAAAGGTTTTTTAGCCCATATTTTCCAAATGTCTGATATTATCCCTCTGACAAACACTGTTTCTGCTTGGCTATTTCAGCACTTTTGTGTAATGGAAAATTTCACAAACACTTGCAAGAAATCTTTGTACCGTTGGTTGTCCGCTACGTGGATCTCATGGAGTCCTCCATCGCCCAGTCAATTCACAGAGGTTTTGAGCAGGAGACATGGCAGCCTGTCAAGTAGGTATATTATCCAGTCCCCCTAGAGCTCCTGCCTGTTCAACCCTGACCTTCTGATTTTACACATGGCCATCTGTAGTTATTGCTTATGGTGGTCCCTTCCCACGTTGTTTGTTTCTTTACAGGAATATCGCCAACAGTCTTCCCAATGTAGCTCTTCCAAAAGTTCCAAGTCTGCCTCTTAATCTTCCACAGATTCCTAACATTTCTACTCCTTCGTGGATGCCTTCTTTATATGAGTCCACGTGTGTATCCCTCACTTATTTCCTGGTGGTGTGTTAGCTGGTGCATGGCCTGGGCTGTGTTCTGCGCAGATGTGTTTAGATTGCATGGCATTTATCATCGTTGGTTGAGGAATACTGCTTTTGGTTTTGTTTGAGTTTTTTAAGCTAGAAGCTAAGCTTAGCATATCTATAATGAATGATGTCAGTTAAAAAGAAAAACACACTAGTTTAATGTAGTTCATATTTAATCTGTGGTACAGGAATCATTTGGTTTCCCAGGTTATACATTCTACCCTAAGTAAAATAACCAGAGTTCTCCTTATGTAGACAAAGCATTTCAAGGATTCTTAGCTCCAGCTTTATTACTGCCCACATGACTTATCTTATACAAGTTGAAAACCTTTGGAAGAATGGTTTCATAAGAATATAGTCTTTTTTCTATTTTTATCCTAGTCTCAACTTTTAAAAAACAGTACTGCATCATGCAGGGAAGGGGTTGTCCTTTCATTGCCAAAACCAGAAAAAGTTCTGCTTTTGATTGGTACATCTTGCTATTTTAAAATAGTCTTTATATTATCCAAAACCATGTTTATTAACTTCACATCATGATGACCTTGTCTGTTGCAGAATCAGAAACTGAGAATCACTAAAGTGAACAGGAATGGGCTTTTAAATTGATCAGGTCTGAATTTAGATCTTAGCTTATTAATTGTAAATCTTTCTTAGCCTCAGTTTTTTCCTCAACTCTAAAACAGTTATTACACTTAATTGAAAGATGTTTTTGTGATGATTTTTTGAAAAGAAAACTGTATTGAGGCACATTCTAGGCTTTTAATAAATGATTAGTACTGTTGGCATATCCTAGGCACCCAGTAAATGATAACTGCTGCTACTCTACATTGTTGTTTTTGATATTATTACTATCATCAGGCATCATTATTATTATTTATAATGGTATACTTCTTTTTTTTTTTTTTTTTTTTTGAGACGGAGTTTCGCTCTTGTTACCCAGGCTGGAGTGCAATGGCGTGGTCTTGGCTCACCACAACCTCCGCCTCCTGGGTTCAGGCAATTCTTCTACCTCAGCCTCCTGAGTAGCTGGGATTACAGGCACGTGCCACCATGCCCAGCTAATTTTTTGTATTTTTAGTAGAGACAGGGTTTTACCATGTTGACCAGGATGGTCTCGATCTCTTGACCTTGTGATCCACCCGCCTCGGCCTCCCAAAGTGCTGGGATTACAGATGTGAGCCACTGCGCCCGGCCTAATGGTATACTTAAAACTATGAGCCTCACAGTGATCAGAACTAAGTAATAGTTCCAGTTTACAAATGGGAAAACTCAGGCAGTTACATGCTTTGCCCAAGATCTCATATGAAATGAACTAGAAAGAATAATCATTAGAGGAAGAAAAATAGGTTCCATTTATTGAGAATTTACTATGTTTCCAATACAGTGCCACGTTCTTATCTCATTTAATCTTTATAACAACCTTGCGTCATTATCCCCATTTTACAGTTAAGGAAACTAAGTCACAAAGAAATTAAAAAACAAAATTTGCTTATATCTCACAGCAAGTAAGTGACGGGGCAAAATTTGAACCCAGGTTTGTTTGACTACAAAGTCCTCACTCCTGTCATTAATTTGTTCTGCCCCCTTAGAACCTTGTGTTTAAGAACTTGCTACCTTTCCACCTATCCTACTACCAACTGCAAATCCGCACCTAGTCAGGTATGCACACAATCAAGAAAAGAAAGAGGAAAAGACCAAGAAAGAAATTAACTTGCAGGCCGGGCGCGGTGGCTCAAGCCTGTAATCCCAGCACTTTGGGAGGCCGAGGCGGGTGGATCACGAGGTCAAGAGATCGAGACCATCCTGGTCAACATGGTGAAACCCCGTCTCTACTAAAAATACAAAAAATTAGCTGGGCATGGTGGCACATGCCTGTAATCCCAGCTACTCAGGAGGCTGAGGCAGGAGAATTGCTTGAATCCAGGAGGCGGAGGTTGTGGTGAGCCGAGATCGTGCCATTGCACTCCAGCCTGGGTAACAAGAGCGAAACTCCATCTCAAAAAAAAAAAAAAAAAGAAATTAACTTTCAGGTAATTTGGCAATATTTCTACAAGTTAAACAACATCACTGTATTCATAATACTCACTAGGATATTATGTTACATGTGAATTTTTTTTTTTCCTTACAGAAAAGTGCTTTGGGCCAATAGAGTGTGTAAAGTGTTGTCTGTGTGTGCTCAGGAAATTACCTACAAAGTATAATGAACCTTTCTAAGTATATGATTTTTTTGTACTTTTTTACACTGTTCTATAATGTAACTCCTCTTCTTCCTAATTTTTCGTCTATTTAACACTCGATTTTAGCCCAGAACACTATCATGGGCATTATCCTGTGAAATTTAGCTTTTTGTTAGTACTCTTTTATTAACTTTGGGATGTGTATGAACTCTGAATCCCTTATTGAGGACACTTTTTTAAAGTATGTTAATCTCAGGACAAGAATAATGACAGCTTAGAGCTTTGTAAGTAAAATGATTGTGCTTTGACCATTCTGCAGAAAGTTAAAAATGCATTTTACAAGTTGATCACTGTTATCTTTACCTACCAAGGTTATCAACATTAGGTTCTTCCTCAGAGTGTCCAAAGTTACTCATAATGTTATGATGTTATTGCCACTTTTTTAAGTTTAAAACATTAATAACAAGAAAGATTTATATTTAACATAAAGAATTAAAGATACAACTGCTGATTAAATATCAAAGTAACCATGATTTTGAAGATACATCCCTGCCTACTACTGCATAAATCATGCAAGGATTGCTCATCCACGTATCAATCTGTATATAAAATCTTTCTTCGTTTTTTTTTTTCCTCTAGAAATGAATGCCAGTAAGGTAAGTTTTCTGCTGGCATTTTTAGGAAATTATCTCAGAATCCATTATTCACACTCAGATTCTTTAATCTGTTAATAATACCTTTAGGAATAGGTCACTGATTAGAAATAATTTTAAAATGAAAAAGCTCTGAATAAATTGCAGGTTATATGTACCAACTCCAAAGAAAGGCTACTCACATTTTTTTCATATATCTCTCTAATTATAACAAACGCTTTTTATCTTAATTACATTCCCAATTAAACACATTTATTGTCAAGAATCAAACAGAAGAAATATGTATCCATATTCTCTATGAAGATTGTTATATATTATTAGGAGACCTATTTTTAGTAGAATTCTGCCTTTATCATCAGAGATTTTGTTTTATGATGTTGTTTCTTGTTATTGTGTTGTTAAAGAACATATACATTTCAGATAGTTACATTTCTCCAAAGTAAAAAGATTATAAGAAGCAGATTTGCTTCTTTGCCAATTGTATTCAGTTCTTTTTAAAACTTAGTTCCTCCAATCTACCAAACTGCACACTGTGGATATGAAGGGAGATTTTGTTTGGTCTTTTTTTCTCTTATTTTTATGATATATATGGCAAAAGGAGAAATAAAAGTAGTGTTTTTTAAACACTTTCATGTTAGTATCAGCATGGTGTTGTCTGGTTCTCTCATTTAATGGTGCATTAGAGGCACTGAATATTAAGGTGAAGAGATTTAAGTGAGGAAAGTGCTATGGGAAGTGTTCACTGCTTTGCTGTGATTGTTCCCTAGAGAACTTAACTCCGAGGGCATTTTGGCTGGACAAGGAGATCAGGAGGAATTACTGGCAGAATGGGAATAGAAAAGCAATGTTGGTTGGTGATAGAGCTTTGACGGTGAGGCCAGGATGGAGGGTAGAAATAAGCTTTTAATTAGCCAGAGCAAGAGGTGACTTTGTTTCTAAGCTAGCTCATTAAGATATATTTAGCTAAACAATGTGGTGCCTTAAACAATTTTTTTTTTTAATTTTTAAGTTCTGAGATACATGCACAGAACAAAGAGTTTTATTACATAGGTATTTTCCACTGTACTCTTGTGATAAATAAGTTTATTTTTAAAATTTTCTTTTGTAAACTAAAAATATAAATTTTAAGTTAGTGTATGTGGAGCAATTGTTGGAAAGCTGAAACAAATGGATCCTACAGCAGCTTTTTTTTTTTTTTTGCTTTTGCTTTTATGCTCTTTTATACATAAATTTCAATATGTTTTAATGTAAGAATATTTTACTTTCAAAACATTAGCCTATGTACTTGCATAATGGAAAGTAATAGCATGACCCGTTGCCAAAATATTATATGTACTCTTCCATAAGTTATCTTCATACATGGGGTGATAGCACAGTCCTCTAGAGTAATTTTACCATAGTAGTGATTGCTTAGCGAATCTTGGCTCCACAATTAGATGTAAGGACCCGAAATAATTATTTTTCTCCAACTTCAGAGCACCCTGAGTGTCATTTCTCTGTCAGACAATACCTTGGTTTTTAATAAGCCAGAAAAGGCAAAAAATGAAAATAAAAGTTTGCTTCCCTACGTAGCGCATTTTATTTCGGGTACCTTTCTTGCCTTTACCTGTAGTTGAGAAATTCAAGCACCCTATATTCTATACACATGTAAGTAGACAGAAACCACCATGGTGACAGAGGCACATATGCATGAATAATAGCAAAGGTACTGGTTGCTAATATAAGAACTTTCTTGCATAAAATGTAATTTTGAAGGCTTGCAAGAATGTTTATCCTAGAGACTGGTAAAGAACATTTACAATGTTTGTTCTTATATATACAATATAATTTCCTTAGTAAAGTATACATATCCATTTTACCTCTTTGTATGAAACCCTACCACCATATTTATTTCTGTTTTGTTCTTCTTGCCCTGCCTTATTAAGAATGATAAAGGAAGAATTAGAAGGCTGAACAAAGAAAATATTGGATCATTAGAGATTTTATATGGTTTTTTTCACTGATAGCAATTGATACAGGAAAGGAAAAACAATGTATTAATGATACACATCATTAACGGGGAATTCATGATGTTCATTTTTTCTTTTTCTTCCAGCAATGGCTCAGCAACATCCGAAGACCTTTTTTGGAAACTTGATGCACTGCAGATGTTTGTCTTTGATCTACACTGGCCAGAACAGGAATTTGCCCACCACTTAGAGCAAAGACTTAAACTAATGGCCAGTGACATGCTAGAGGCCTGTGTCAAAAGGTAGACATGTATTTTCAAATTGCTGCTTAATGTGCCAGCACCCAAAATATCACTTCTTTTCAAGTACCTACTATATCATTGTCACAGTGAAGGTTTCAATATGCATTACTGTTCCAACATTTAATGAGCGTTAAGTTATCTTGACTAAATTCTGGGGACCCATATAATTGATGAAAATGGCTATATACTTTTTTCCAGGTCTCCCAACTATTGCCTTAATCAGTAACATCTATACCACATTAATGATTTCTTTAGGGCTTACTGTTACCTCTCTGGGAATACTGTGCTTTAAATTCCCAAAGCAATATTTCCTGAGACATATGAAAAAGGTCTGTTATGTTCTGTGTGCATTATGTACTGTGTCTGTGTGCTGTGAAATGGCATAGTAAACTCAAAATAGCGTCGGCACCATCAGTTGTTCTGGGATTACTAACCGTATTCTGGTATTTTCTGTCTACATCAGGTGAGTTCCAACTATTGGCTTAGATTCTTTAGAACTTAACAGGAAATAAGTTATGAGGTTTTGTATTCTTCCAAATGTGCTTTCATTTTATAACAGTTTTACAAAATCAGCATTGCATCCTAGTTGGTCAAGCATTGTTTTTTCATTATCCTTGTTCGTTTTATGTACAAGGACAATATGTAGCCACGTATTAGAAAAGCATTCAAGCACTGGTTAGACCAATTGGGTATTTCAGAAATCTTTCAACCAAGAAAAATTCTGTCTTTAGAATAATGTTCAGTGACCCCTTAAGGCAAGGCCGTGGATTAGGTAGATTAATGTTTTTTAAAAATCATCGTTGATTTTGATGCTTCAGATCTGTGGATGTTCATAGGATAATTTAGCAAAACAAACTTCAAATTGCCCATAATGCAGTTTCTTTCAAAAACCTGTCTGCAATTTTAGGTTTTTGAAGAATAATGTAAGTAACATAAAAGAATTACACATTGTCTGTTGTACATTGATTACCGGGTTTTAGAGTTTTCTAGACTTGTGCTTATTTTTTTCTAATTTGGTAAGCCCTTATACAGAAAATATATTCTGCTTAAATGCATAGAATTGTGTGATTTTTCTACTTGGAAATTAATTCAGACAGTTAAGTGAAATTATGAGTTTTTTCTATTAAATGTGGTAATCTGGATACAACAAAAAGCTTCGTTTGGGTGATGATACAGTCTGAGTGACTGCATGAAACTAGGCTTAATATAAAATTATCACAATCTGATCTTTCACTGAGATACCTGAAAAGAAAAGCCTCCCCACACCAGCCCCCAAACACTGCCACACTGCGTACTTCTTATTTGCATGTTTTAAATTAGCATCTTGTAGTGTTGATTTCACTTTTTACAAAACAGGTAAGGTGTATAACAGAATTTCTTACACTGAATTCCTATTTTTAAAACTAGAACAAGAACTGCATTTGAACTCAAGCTACAAAAGGCAAGCAAAACAACTGACTTGCGCATTCCAGCTTCCGTTTGCACTATGTTTAATGTATTAGTCGATGCCAAAAAGCAAAGCACCAAACTCTGTGCCCTGGATGGAGGACAAGAGGTATGTAGAATGGGCCACGTGGGAAAAGGCAGCACAGGATGCCTTGGCAGGGGAGATACTCTTTCCATAAGGCATTCTCTTGATTAGATTGAAAAGACCCAAGTTCTCCAGCACCAAATGTTTGATCTTTTCTTTACTGGAATAAAAGCATGCCCTTTATTCTTTGCTCATATCAGTTTCTCCTTTTTGATATAAGTACAGTCTAAAATTTTATAAGTGACCATGAATTTTAGATACAGCTTTTAACAACTTAAGTTGTGTCATTTACATAAACCTTGCCTTTTACAAGCAAATGAGAAAGTTGGAAAGCTACCTGTTTTGTTTATACAAATCTAGAGTATCCAGAGTTTGCATCTATAAAAGTAAGACACACACAAAAAAGTATGAAATAGTTTATTTACACAGTAGTTTCCATTTTAAAAAAATTAGGTAGAAATAGATTTGTAAATCTAGGCCTAGTTCTTATCAATAAATATCCTATTCTTTTCATTTGATTTATATTTTGTTTGGTTTTATATTCAGAAGTACAATTTTATTTTACCTCATGAGTTTTTATTGAGAGTGGTGATTGGGTGAAAATTTATGTATTTATTTTCAATTAATTCATTTAAGTTGACATTTTGCTGTCTTTTTTCCCATGGTAATTACTTTTTCTTAATTTCTTTATTCTTTCCTTTTGTTCTCTTTCATCATCTTTTTTTTCACTCCATGGCATGATCCAGTTTGGTAATCAATGGGTAAGTCTTATTTTTTTTCATAAACATATTTTCATTTGAGTTATTATTTGCAAATGTATATTTTTTATTTTTATCTTTTCAAATTAAAACTATGTAAATAATTTTATTTTCAGATTTTTGGCTTCTGTATTTGCATATGTAAGGCTAACTGCTTACAATAACATAGCAATAGCTCAAAGATTCATTAAAACACTAAATACTTATACCTTAAATAATGATGGGGGGACTGTTTCTCCCCTGTTAAACTGCAGAATTTATAAACTATCCTTAGAATTTTAAAGATAAAATCATTTAAAACCAAATTAATTCATTCTTTTAAATTGAAATCTAAATAACTGTAGAAGCAGAGTGATTATTAACATTTTTTAAGCATTTATCTACACTATACTTTTAATACCAAAAAAAATTCAAGTTTAGAACTTTAGGTAACATATGCCTTCTAAAAACTTGAAGAAGGAGGCCACACCCAAAGTCACTTTATACAGATGAACCCAATGGTGAATTTCAGTGAGGTACAAGCCTACCAGTGATACAGTCTTTCCTCCCACTCATGATGGCTTAGGATGTGACCATCATCAGAGGTAAGGAAGAGGGATGCCTATGTCATGAGATGTCTGGCCTCCTCCTCAACAGGTTGTCCTAAAATATTACCCCCTAGAATCCCTGAGGTACAAGATTAGAAAACCTCTATGAATAAAGGATTGACTAGTGTATATATTTTTTCTTTTCTTTTCTTTTTTGTGATCAGAATGTCTTTGTGTCCTGTAAATAGGTTATATCTTACAAGTCTTACAGTTGACAATTGGGAATCAAACTCAGGGTGGCTCTTCCTGGGCTGATAGTTCTCACCTAAGCAGAATGGCTTAGTTAACTATGAAAGTAGATGGGAGCTGGGTGCGGTGGCTCATGCCTATAATCCTAGCACTTTGGGAGATGGGTGGATTGCCTGAGCTCAGGAGTTCGAGACCAGCCTGGCAACATGGTGAAATCCCATCTCTACTAAAATTAAAAAAAAAAAAAAAATCAACCAGGTGTCGTCAGGGGCACCTGTAATCTCAGCTACGTGGGAGGGTGAGGCATGAGAATTGCTTGAACTCAGGAGGCAGAGGTTGCAGCGAGCCAAGACTGTGCCACTGCACTCCAGCCTGGGCCACAAACTGAACCTGTCTCAAAAAAAAGGAAATAGATAGGAAGGTCTACTACTTGTGAATGCTATATCTTTTGACCCAGATATTTACATTAGCTATTTGACCATAATTTATACTTATGCATGAATACACAATTTTATTTTTTGAGCAATTCTCCAGAAAAAAAATATATTTATAATACCATAGCATACAACCTTACAAATATATCAAGTAACCAATATGTGTTATAGACTGTTCAGTAATTCTCTGATCACTTATAACTTGATTTATTATATCTAATTATCTGAATGAGTAGGCAGCTGGCTTGGATAACAATGGCTTCTATTTACCTTCTCATGTTTTCTATTACCCAGATATAAGCCTTTGATTGTCTGCCTGAGAATATTATCTTAATTTTCTTCATAAACCCATTCTTTCCTCATCTGGTTTGTAGAATCATCTTCCATTAATACTGAGTTTATCAATTTGTTCTTATTTTAACATACACTGCAGGCACTTAGTAAATGTTTGCAGAGTGAATGAACAGATTTGTCACTGCTTTAAAAATCCTCCCCTGTAAGAAACCACTTGCTGTAGTACTTAAAAGGAAAAACAGGCAGACACACACACACAAATGACAAGCATTGTTACATTGTCAAATGATTCTTTACATTAATAGGTGGGTGGTTTTGAAGACTGATGTGCTACTGTTCATTATATATGCACCTGTACATTCACACCAGAAACAATTAGTTCCTCACAACTTTCACACAATTAACATAGTTCAAAATGTGCAGGTGTAAAACCCATTAGCAACCCTGAAAAAGTGGTAAACAAGAATTTCATTGCAAAAGAAGAATTTTATACTTTGCTTTTTCTCTTCAGTATACATACCCACATAATTGCATAGGCTTTCCCTCTCTATATGTGCCGAGATAAGTTTTGGAATTGTTGAAAATTAGTATGTATATTACAAATACAGGTGAGCCAGTGGACTCCATTTAAAAGCAACAAAGTTGTTGAAAAAGCTAGATTATTGGACAATCTGGATCCATGTAAAATATATATACTATATAGTTAAAAATAACAGCAATGTTTTTTCTAAATTATAAAGAAATTACCTCTCCCAAATGTCTAGTGAATTTGTTGTTATTATCATCGCTGGGATAAAACTTGCACAACTCCTTCCCAACAATGCAGTCCCTTCTGTGCGTCTAAATCATGATTCTGTTTTCTTACATGCTACATGATGATGCAAACATGCTCCACTGAGGCCGAGAATTGGGTTTAATGGAGTGATTAGTGAGTGAATTATCTGCTCATGTGACAGCTGTGTGAAATGAGTCAGCAATCTCAGGCCAGTCCCTCAGGGACAGATGTTGAGATCACAAAACCACCACAGTGTTTAGAATCCTCATTATCCATTACTGCACAAAAGCAGATGACTAGATGGGCTGTAGACATTCATCAGCCATCAGAACCACTTCATTCCATGGTCCCATTAGTTGAGGATGAAGGTGAAAACACATTAATATGGCAAATTCAGGGGAACAAGGGGCCTTACTTGTGTCAAATTTGTTCTCAGTTAAATTAAAATGTTTCCATTTCTGGAACTAACAATATAGTACCTTTAAAATATTATATACCCCAAGACAAAGTCCAAAATCTTTTAAGAAAACTGGAATTCAGTATCATCTGATTAGTCTTCATTTCATGAGTGTATTTGTGTGACAGCAGTCAGGTGAAATGGTGCTGTTCACCTGATTGTAAAGAGGCCAGGTTTTCAGACTGTGCCAGACCTCTGATTGCCCTGGGCTTCATGAAGTAAGGATTCCTGAATGGTTATCTTAATGTAAGTTCAGAGTCATCTGCTGGGAAGCAGGCACAGTTTGCCTTTGAGGGCAAATGTGGGGAGACTTAGCTTAAGAATGAATTGGAATCTACCAAAGCCCTAGTATCTAAGATTATCAATCCAACATGAAGTATTCTAAGAATTTTATTTTATTTTTCTCTTTTTAAATTTTAACTTTCGTTTTAGATATGAGGGTACATATGTAGTTTTGTTACACAGGGGTATTGCACCCAGATCATGAATGTAGTACCCAAAAGGTAGTTTTTCAATCCATACCTCCTTTCCTCCCTCTCCCTTCTAGTAGTCCAGTGTTTACTGTTACCATGTTTATGTCCATGTGTGCTCAGTGTTTAGCTCCCACTTATAAGCGAGAACATGCAATATCTAATTTTCTGTTCCTATGTTAGTTTGTTTAGGATTATGGCTCCAGCTGCATCCATGTGGCTGCAAGGACATGATTTCATACATTTTTATGGCTGTTTAGTATTCCATGGTATATATGTATGATATTTCTTTATCTGGTCTACCATTGATGGACACCTAGGTTGATTTCATGTCTTTGCTACTATGAATAGCATAACAATGAATATACAAATGCAAGTTGTTTTTGTTCTGTTTTATTTTGTTTTTGGTATAGTGATCTGTTTTCCTTTGGATGTGTACCCAGTAAATTGGATTGCGGGGTCAAATGGTAGCTCTGTTTTAAGTCCTTTGAGAAATCTCCAAACTGCTTTCCACAGTGGCTGAACTAATTTACATTCCCACCAACAGTGTAGAAGCATTACCTTTTCTCAGTATTTTTTCTTTTTTTGAGACAATGTCTCCTTCTGTCACCCATGCTGAAGTGCAGTGGCATATTCATAGCTCACTACAACCTGGAACTCAGGCTCAGGCGATCCTCCCACCTTGACTTTCTAAAGTGCTGGGATTACAGGCATGAGCCACCATGCCCAGCCTCTAATAAGAATTTTATAGGTTTTTATTGTTGGAAACAAAAATGTTCCAAATTCTTATGAAAAATGCTGTCTGTTATAGTAAATGGGAAGAAACGATCAATTTTAACTTATATAATATAAATGTCTTTGCAGATAAATTGTTTTTACCTGTGATCTCTTTTTGCTTGTGTTTGTCTTTGAAAGTTATCTGAAAATTTCTGTAACACTGCCTTTGTGAACTAGTTTAAGCACACCACTGAACTTAGAATGTTTTAACCAGCCTCTGAATACTCCTATCCCCGCCCCAGATGAACACACAATAACCATTGTTATTTTGGCAGTTTTTGACTTGTTTTATTTTAAATGTGTGCACACACAAATATTACTTTCACAGATAATCATTAATTACATTTATTGACATATTTCAATTTCTGGTTTTGTCCCTGTTCCTTAATTCTACAACTTGCTTGTATGTTAATTTGTCATTTTCCTGAAATGCATAATTAATCTTTTAGCAAAATTTTAAAAAACACACACACAGAAAAAGAAAATTTTTTCTGGGTCCCCTGATGAATGACTTTTTCCAGCTAACTTTGTATTATCTATGTGCGGCATATGTGGGTTATCATCGGCAGAATATGTATGTAAAATGAGAATTCTCAGGCCATCTTTTCTCTCACACTCATGCACCTATCCCACCTCCACCAACTGTGCAGCCAGAGCAGATTCTGAACGTTCTCAGCAGTTGTAATATTCGTGTAAGTCAGATCTAATCAGATACATTTACAGTAGCAGAAACCCATATTGTAAAAATCTGAAAACCTCACACTATTTGGATTTACCCCTTGGATATTAAATTTAAGATGTATACTTCTTCCCTTATTTCTTTTAACATTGTATGTTTTTGTGTTTTTGTTCATTCATTCTCATTTTCCCTTCCTCTCTCCCCGTTTCTTCTTCTTTTTCTCTTTCTCTCTGCTTATAGCTAGATCAGGTATCAAAGCAAGCAACAATCTACAGGTCTATATTATAGGAGAACTTAATGGCTCCTAGTATCTACTGACTTTCACTGCTTTTCAAGAAAAATGGGTATAAATGACCTGTTCAGTGGCTCATCACTTGATTTTAAGATATGCCAAAATCGATTCAACCCAAAAGTTTAACATGTAGAAGCTCTGTATTTTATATATGATAGCTTTCTGATGACATTTGATCACTTTGAGTTCAAAAAATGAAAGTTATGAAAATAGAGAACAACATTTGGGATATGACATATTTAAGAACCTGCTTGGAAGTCTGGATGCCTCAATGCTTGTATGCTTTGGAGCACTTTCCATGTAAGAGGGAAGTGAGATGCTTGAAGCCCAATTCCTGTATCTCTTTCCTCTTCTATCCTAAAGAGGAGTCTCACATGGGATTTAGTTTCCTCTTGCTGCTCATACTGACCTGGAGCAAGACGGATGTGAAAGGAGAGTGGCAGAGTGGGAGAGCCAGGCAGAGCTCATTTGCATAAGCTTCTCCATCACTCAGTCAGCTACACAGCTTTCAGCCAGGAGCTGGGGGGCCTTTTTTTGTAAGTGTGTCTGTAGAGGGATTACCCTGCCCATCAGCCCGTGCATGCGCTGGAATTGTTCGGCTGATCTCAGTTATGTTCATGTGAGGGCCTGCCTGGCTCAGAAAATTATTAATAGTTTAGACTGGATCAGAACTTTAACAGCCAGCCAGCTTTTTCAGGCTTTTCTTTTTCTACCTGTTTTTCTGTCTTCTCTCCCCTTTTCCTTCTCTTCAGGCTACCTCGAAAGCAAAAATATCAGCAGTAGTGGTACAGATATCCACTCTGTACGTTTCAATTCCATTTACCCTCTAGGGAGCACAAATTTGGGAATCGATAAAGGCTTTAAGTGAGACAGATATGCTTTAGTGGGTGTAATATGTGCCCAGAAAATTCCACATTCACATAGATATGGTTCATTTTAGATCACTCATCATTACACACTTAGACTCACACCCACACACACACTCGCACAGAAAAAGAAAATAATTCAGAGACTCTAAAATTCTTCCTCCTTTATTATTTATGCAGGTTGATGATAACGACTTGTAACTGTCAGAACCCTTGGGGAGAGGGGTGGAGTGTCATTCCTGAGTAATCCAAAGCAGACCTAAGTTGATGTTTTGTTCTGTGTGGAAACTTTGAGACATGTTTTCAGCACAGGAAAAAAAAAATAGCTTTCAAAAACTTACATCTTAAGAAACCATTCAGCCAGCAGTGAAGTTGGTCTAATGTTTATATTGACCTGAGTACTTTTACTCGATGCATTTTGTTAGCTGTTCCAAGAAGCCTTGAACCATCAAGATAGGGTTAGTCTTTACAAGTCACATTTTCTGTGAAGTGGCTATTGGGGACAATCAGCTGTCAGATAAATGCTTCTAAAGGAAGAATTACTGTTTAAATGGATGTGCCTTCACAAGCCTTGGAAGCCCCAGCTCCTGCTAATTTGAGAATGGAGCCCTCTAGTATTCTCTAAAGAAAGAAAAAAAAAAAAAGTCTTTCAGGTTGATTTTAAATACATCTTTTTTTGGTATTTATTTAAAGGCATCTTTTTCATGAGGAAGCGGTAATAAAACTATAGGGAGTGAGTGATGTTTCATTATACCTTTTATGGCCTATTAATTTGTTACCATCTATTCACCTTTGTTGATGAAATTTTAATTTTGCCCTTGCTCGAGCATATTGTAAGAATTGTATAAACTGCTGTTCCCTGTGCTGACAAAAAGGTCCTTTTAGAGTGAACAATTGGGAGCTCATTTTATTTCTAGAGCACATTTAAAATAACTTATGAATGAGAGTTGTCAGACATGAAATGCAGTATTAATTAAATCTTTTTCTAGTCTTTTTGCTTCTCCAGCTAAACCAACCCTTTAGAAAAATACACAGCCACCTTAATTATAGAGGAGAGACAAAAAATATCCTTCACATTCCTGTGCCTGAATAAGAATAAGAACTCAATTCATCTAAATAATAACCCCATTAGCTGCTTAACTCAACAGTGCACATGGGAAAATTTTCAATCCACATGTAAAAAGTGTTTATTGGGTGGATCATTTTCAGGGTTTTGTTCTTTAAATGTTCAAAATGATCATTTTAAATAAAACTGATAGGTCATCACTAGTAGATTTAGAGCATTTATGACTTATGACAAAAGTTTTGTGTCATGTCAACTAATGAATTTTTCTTTTAATATCTAGCAACAATACCATTCAAAAATAGATGATCTGATCGACAACAGCGTAAAAGAAATCATTTCACTGTTAGTTTCAAAGGTAATGTATTGTTTATTCACCTTTTTAAATCAAATTGAAAAATAATTTTCAATGGATACTTTTTAAAAATGTCATGTGTTTAAATATCTAATTGAAAAAATTATAGTTTAAAAGATTAATGCAGGAAAAAATAGAATTTTCAGGAAAGTTAGAAAAAAAGATTATGAACACTGTGTCAACAACATTTGATTTTTTTTTTTTTGGATATAATAAATTTTGGCTTTTCTTACCATTGTTGTCATTTTAAAACTAACTCTTCTTCCAGTAAAATCTTATTATGTTACATTCATGTTCTTGTACTATTTAACTCCAGAGCAGATTTGAGTAGTCATAAGTCCTTGAATTTAGCCCATCTGTGGTGGTGATGGCACTAAGGCTCTATATCTGGTCTTGGAGACAGACAGAGAAAGCTGGCAGGGTGACATCTGAGGTCCTCCATGCCCAGGAGTTTCCCAGGATTTCCAATTCGATGCTCAAAATACCTTTAACAAAAGCCATGATCTTTCACTGTATAAGTAGAGATGAAGCAATGGATGCATCATTTAGTGATTAGATGATTTAGATTCCAGCTAAGGTGTAACAGACAGTCATGGGTGGCATTTCAGATCAGAGGCTGATAATGAAAGGAAGAGAGAACATGAGAGCACCAGGTTAAGAGGATGAACAGAGAGAATGGGCATCTCCTAGAGGCAATTTCCTATGAGCAGATAGATTCCATGCTCTCACAAGGCTTCATCACAGAACCCCAAATCAGGATTTGTAAAGCAACTGGAAGGATGACACGAAGCAAAGGATGACACCCTCAATTTAATAAACAGACAAAAAACATCCTGTTTAGAAAAGAAAAAAAAAAAAAAAACAGAGATGTCCCACAAACATGAAAAATGTTAATCCTCATTAATAATTTAAGGATACAAAGTAAGCTACAATAATATACTATTTTTTCTAGCAAATTAGCATAAATGCTTCTAAGGTAACAGTTCTGGGTGAAGTCAGACACCATTTATATATTGGGGAGTATAAGTTGTTACAGTCTTTCTGGAAAATAGTTTGGAAATACATCAAGTACATTAATACCTTTTCACCTTTTTCTATTTTGTCATACTGATTAAATGCACAGAATGTGTATTTGTTGATATTTGTCACATTATGCCTAACCAAAATTTGGAAACAACTTTAAATTCTAATGAGGGAAAAGATAAAGTAAATTGTGGAACATCTGTATTAAGAAATTATACTTTCAAAGACTATTAATGATAAAGGAAGAATTTCATAATATAGTATTAAATGAAAACAGCTGAATATTTAAAAGTGTAAAATATAAACTGAATTTGAATCTTGTAGGAAAAAGACCACTAGGATAAACACTAGAATGGTAACAGCTATTCTTTGGGTAATGGGAGTATAGTTCATTTTTTATTTCATCTTCAATTTTTTTTTTGTATTTTTCAAATTATCTGGTTGCATGTCTTAGAGTGGAAAACAACCACAAAGACAGAGTTAGAATAAAATCATCTCACCAGCTTATTTTTGTTCTCCAGATTTTTACCACTATACCAAATGCCTACATACACACCTGTCTCAGACACTCACCAACAAGTGGATAGGAAAAGAATAATAGGAAAACCATGGAGGGAAGGGGTGAACCACTGGAGAATCAAGCTCTTTGAGGGAGAGCAGTGAGATTTCCACCCTCTGAGGAACCCTGCACAGCAGCTTGCATCACCGCATAGTCAACCCACTACAGTGAAATAAAGTTAACTTTGCACCATCTTCTCTGTGAGGCCTTCAGGGAAATGTTATCCAGATGTGACCACCCTGTGAACATAGTCCTCATGTGGAAGTTGCCTTTTGTGAGAAGTTTTCATAATCAGTATCATGATAATATACTAGCATATAGATGATCTAGGGTTAGTCAGGAAGCAAGAGAAAAATCCAAGTTTTTCTTTGGGGTGGGAAGGAAGAGGAGAGAGAAGGCAGATGGGACTGTATGTCATCTCTGCATCTATTTCTGGCAAAGTAAGACACTTAAATTTTTCTGTATAAAATACATCTGGTTAGTTTTAAAAATGGTCTATTTGAGCTAAGTAAGGAAAAGATGTTCTGAAATATCCTCACAGTACACCAGCTACTAGCCACATGTGGTTGTGGAGAATTGGAATGTGGCTAGTGAAGCTGAGAAATGCAATTTTTAATTTAATTTAATTTTGATTAAAAGAGCCTCGTGTCATACTGGCTATTACATTTAGAAATCAGGACTAGATTATAGTTTTTCTCTGGACCTCATTTCTCCTCCTGTCACAGCATGCTTATTATCTTTAATTCTTTGGCTGAAAAGTGTAAAATAAATTAACTTGATAGGTTGAACCAAACATCTCAAAGATGATAGTAATTGATGTTTTTTAAAAAGATGTTTCAAATTCATCTCCATAATTATGATATTTTAAAAACCATTTTATTGAGATATGATTAACATACAAAAAACGTGTACATGTTTAAAATATACAAGATGAGTGTGGAGAGAAGTATACAGCCATAAAAGTATACAACCATAAAACCATCACCTCAACCAGTACCATAAACTTATCCATCACCTCCCAAAGTTTCCTCCAGCCCTCTTAAATAATCATTTGTGTGTGTGGTAACAGTCACATAAGATCAATCCTCTTATCAAATAGTATTGTTTTCTATAGGCATTATGCCATGCAGTAGCTCTCTAGAACTTCTTCATTATGCATAACTGAGACTGCTCTTTGGCAGATATCTCCCCATATCTCCCTCCCTCAGCCCCTGAGAAACCAACATTCTAACCTCTGTTTCTATTATTTTGATTATTTTAAATTCCTCATATAATTGGTACTATGTAATATTTAGTCTTCTGTGTCTGCTTATTTCACAGAGCATAGTATACTCCAGGTTTATCTGTTTATCTCAAATGGCAGGATTTCCTTCTTTTTTTGAGGCTGAATAATTTTTCATTGTAGCATGTAACTCATTTTCATTATCCATTCACCTGTCTGGTGGATATTAAAGTTGCTTCCAAGCCTTGCCTATTGAGAAGAATGCTGCAAAGAAATGAGAGTGCAGATATTTCTTCAATATACGAATTTCAGTTCCTTTGGATATATGCCCATTAGTAGGATTGCTAAATCATTTGGTAGTTCTATTTTTCATGTTTTGAGAATCCTACATGCTATTTCCCATAGTGCCTGCACCAATTTATGTATCTACCAACAGTGGGCATTTTCTCCACATTCTCAGCAATACTTGTTATCTTTTGGGTTGTTGATAGTAGCCATCCAAACAGATGCCAGCTAATATCTCAGTGTGGTTTTGATTTGCATTTTTCCAAAGATTAGTGATATTAAGCTCCTTTTCGTGTACCTATTGGCCATTTATACATGTTTATTAGAGACATAGTGCTTTGCTCATTGTTCGTAGAGACATAGTGCTTTGCTCATTTTTTTTTAACTTTAATTTTTTTTTTTGCTTTGAGTTTTAGGAGTTTCTTATATGTTTTAGATATTAACTCCTTACCAGACGAATAGTTTGTAAACATTTCCTCCCATTTTGTAGGTTGCTTTTTCATTATGTTGATTGTTTCCCTTGCTGTGCAGAAGCTGTTTTACTTGATATAATCTAATTTTTTAAAAAGATTTCTTGCCTGTGCTTTTTGTATTGTAGCCAAGAATCATTGCTAGGGCCAGTGTTTTCTTCTAGAAGTTTCATGGTTTGGGGTCTTAAGTTATTTAATCCATTTTTACTTGATGGTATTTAGTTGATGATTTTGTTGATCTATTTGTTTATGGCATAAGATAAGGGTCAAATTTTATTCTTTTGTATGTGTACATCTACTTTTCCCAGCACTATTATTGAACAAACCATCCTTTTCTGTTCACACCCTTGTCAAAGATCAGTTGACTGTATGTGTGTGGGTTTATTTCTGAGCTCTCTGTTTTGTACTGTTGGCCTATACATCTGCTTTTATGCCAGTAACATTGTGTTTTGATTATTTTAGCTTTGTAATGGATTTTGAAATTAGGAAGTGTGATGCCTCCAGTTTATTCTTTTGCTCAGAATTGTTTTAGTTATTTCAAGTGTTTTTTGGTTCCAGATTAATTTTAGAATTGCTTTTTCTATTACTGTAAAAAAAATGCCACTGGGATTTTGATAGAGATTACATTAAATGTATAGATCACTTTGAGTAGTATGAACATTTTAACTATAACAATTTTTGTAATTCATGCACATGGAATTTTTTTATTTATTTGTTTTCTGCTGTAATTTCTTCAGTGTTTTATACTTTTCAGTGTACAAGGTTTTCACTTTCTTGGTTAAGTATATTTCTAAGTACTGCATTTTTTTATGCTATTGTAGATGGGATTGTTTTCTTAATTTCCTTTCCATATTGTTACTTGTTAGTGTACAGAAATATGAATGATTTTTGTATGTGGATATTTTTTTCTGCAAGTTTACTGAATTTGTTTATTCTAACAGTTCTTTTTTGTAGACTCTTTAGGGCTTTCTATATATTAAGATCATGTCATCTGCAAATAGAGATAACTTTACTTGTTATTTCCTGATTTACATGGCTTATGTTTCTTTTCTTTTTCTTTTTTATTTATTTTTATTTTTTGTCTGCTTACTCTGGCTAGGACTTCCCGTACTATCTTGAATAGAAGTGGCAAAAGTTGGCATTCTTGCCTTATGCTGTATCTTAGAGGAAAAAAATTTGTTTTTCACCATTGAGTATGATACCAACTGTGAACTTTTCATATATAGCCTTTATTATGTTGAGGTAATTTTATTCTATTTCTAATATTTTGAATGTTTTTTATTATGAAACATTACTGAGATTTGTCAAGTATTTTTCTGCATCTATTGAGATGATCTTGTGATTTTTATCCTTCATTCTATTAATGTGGTGTATCGTAGCAATTGACTTGCTTATATTCAAAAATTCTTGGATCCTTGGGATAAATCTCACTTGGTGATGGTGT